CAGCCCTGGTGGCACAACCCTCCTTGTCCTGAGCATTCAGACCATTCGAAGAAACTGAGGAAGCCAGAAAAGACCTGTCAAGGGATGACATGCTTAAGTATTAATTCATTTTGCCAGGGAGGACCTAAGAATCTGACATCAGGATGCTGGGTTACTCCTGCCATTTCTATTCATAATTCACATGAAGTCTCTGGGCAGGTGTTTTGAATTTATACTAAAGTTGCCCCGTAAGACTGTTTTGTTCCCACCATCAGGACACTTGGCCTTCAGTGAAGGAGAAGAAAATAATAATATTAGGCCTAGAAGCACAGAGCAGGCATTTATTGAATGAGCCAGTGCCAGCTTCCTTGCTCGTTACCTCCCTATCTGAATCATGGAGACATTCTAATCAGCAATTCTCAAAATCTGTTGTGCATCAGCATCATCAGGGAAGCCCTATTAACCACCCCACCCCCCAGAGAGTGAGATTTGATGGGTCTGAGGTAGGGCCTGAGAATTTGCATTTCTACCAAGTCCCCAGGTGATGCCCACTTGAATAGTCTAGGGACCACCCTTTGGGGCCACTGCTGTAAATATTCTGAAATATGAGCTGCATATACATCAACATTTGGTGATTTCCTCAATAACTCACAACCTGGCCTTTAGTTTAGAACCCACATGGGATGCTTTAAAGGAAGATGGTGATGTCCAAGAAAGGTTGTAGCTCCGTGAAATCTTTAACACTATTGCCATGTCTGGTTTTGTTGGCCTGGGTCTGACTGGCTTCTTTGGAGTTGGCTGGTTCAAAAGGATATAGTATGTTGCCATGGCAATATTCTTCCCCAAGCAGGAAGGCCCCAGAGGTTGGTCCTGCGCCACTGACCGTGTATTTCTCATGGCTTTTCCCTTGGGGGGCTTCAGGATTCCATTCCATCACTCCTGGTTGGCGGTCCCAGGAAGCTGGGGTGAATCAGGAGGCTCTGGGTCCCCATCTTCATTCAACCTGTGAATGAAGTGAGCTTTGTCAAGCCAAGGCCCAGCTTGCTTAGGGCCATGGATCAGATTAAGCTAATTTGGGTACAAAGCAGAAGTGGTTGGCAGGGGCATCCCAAGGCTATGGGGAAGGTGCTTTCTGCTCCTTTAATTAGCAGCTCTTGCCTGATAGCACTGGGTCTGGATTCTCAGCTAAGAAAGGCATGCCTCTCCTGCAGCACTTAGCATGAAGGTTATTACCTCTATGGATGCAGGGCATGGCAGTGGCGCCTCGCGCGTGACTGCCGTGGGATCCCTTTGTTCTCTTCCCAGGGTTCTCCTTGAAGGACAGACAGACATCCTGGTGCTCTTCCCTTAGGGTGGAGCACACATGGTGTCCAGGTGGCCACGGCTCACCAGAGGACAGTTCAAGGTGGGGCTCTGCAGACCTTGTGTGGTTTGAATTTGGGTTGCTTACCAGCCCTTTCCTTTCCTGTGTACATCTCTGCAGCTGAGAGAGACAAATTACAGGACCCAGGTCTGAACACCAGGGGAGATCACAATAGATTTTTTTAAAGAGGGAGCTACTACAAGTGATCCCCGAAGAGATTCTCCGGGATAATTTTATAGTCACATAGGACCAGGTGCAAAGCTAGTGGGTACCCATGTCTGCCTTCGAATGGGGGTGAGAGGCTGGAACAGAGACAGGCCAGGCACTGGGCAGTGAATTTTGCTGTTTAATCTGGGTTGGTTAGTTACACCTTGACTTTAGGAAAATTTATTTCAAGTTTGTATGACAGCTTTTGCATGTTATTTACGAATTACGTAGGACCATGCATCTCCTCTGATGGTGGGTGTTGCCTTCGGGGACCCGTGCTGTAACCTGAAGGGATCAGAGGGCCAGGAGATAAGAGCAAATTCCTGAACACAAAATGTCCAAATTCAGTGGGTCCAGAGAGAAGAGATGAACGTTTACAAGCCTATATGTGCCAGACGCCTGACATACACTCTTAGCCTAATCTTTGAAACAGCCAACGAGGACTTTTTAGGCCCATTTTACAGGTGAGGAAACTGAGTGTCAGGAGGTTAGGAGTGGGGCGCCTGGCTGGCTCAGTTGGTGGAGCATGCAACTCTTGATCTCAGGGTTGTGAGTCCAAGCCCCACATTGGGTGTAGAGATTACTTAAAAAAAAAAAAAAAAAAAAAGGTCAAGAAGAGACCTACCCCTAACCTGGTTAGGGGACACTTTCCCTTTCACTTACCTGAAATACTGTCTTTCATCAGATTATTTTCTTTCTGCATTCCTTCCCACCAAATTTTATCTCCATTTTCCAGAAGTGTCTACCTTCTGGCTTGAAACGGTTTTACGAGCAGAGAAGTCTATTCACTTTTAAGCAGCTGAGCCCATCATTATGCCTCTAGATTCAGATTATCAAAATGTTGTGGAACTACCCACCTCATTATACTTTATTTTAATATACTTTTTTTTATTAAAGCTTAGCACACATATAAAAAAGTACACAGACTGCAAAGTGTTTAGATTAATGGCTTTTTACAAACTGAACACACCTGTAAAACCACCACTCAGATTGAGAAATAGAAACCCAGTTATATTTTTATTCTTATGATCCTTTTGTTAGTTTTTGCCAACACAAACCTTTGGTTAGAAATATATTATAACCGGGCTGTCATAATACTTGTCTCGTCCCACCCTGTCACAGCAGTATTTGAAGATCCCCAAAATGCTGGGTAGTCAGCCAGTGATCAAGTTTGTCACTGATGAGCCCTGTTTACAGATGGCCCAGGACGTCAGAGGGGACTTCAGATGCCCCCAGGAAAGAGGTAACGGTAACTCCTGAGAGAGTTTGAGAAAAGAAGAGTCATGGAATTTTACAGCTCAGCTCACAAGCGAAGCTCAGGGAGGCTGAAGAGTTTGCCCACAATCTCCCAGCAAGGAAGCAGGACCAGCAGGCAGTGCCTCCTACACACACACACACACACACACACACACACACACACACACACACCCCTGATGCATGCTATCTGAGAAGTCCCCATTGAAATGGATCCTGACTAGGAAGGAAGCCATTGGCAAGAGGAGTTGTACAGGGCCCGTGGGGTCATCACCCAGGGTCACCACCCACGGATGCTGCCCACTGGCTCTAGGACTTGGCACCCTCCGCTCCAGACGCCCATCTGCTCTCAAGTGGGCCACTGGCAAAGAGACAGCCCTGTTCACCATCGTGGCATATTGGGAAAAAAATTGGAGAAAAAACCAAGCCCCGTCTGTGGCCAGAATGTTTTGTGAGCAAGTGTCCCATTTAGCACCGCCTCTGTTTTCTTGGGACTGCAAAGACCGAGGTCTCAAACCAGCTCTGCCACTTACCAGGCACCGTACCACGGGCAGGTCCTGACCCCAACAACCTCCCAGGCTTGTTGCGATGTTCAGCCCTATCACAGCTAGGGGAAGCTCTGCAAACGACAAAGCCCTTCATAATTACAGCATTTGTCCAGCAGATCCTACGGGCTGGGCTTGCTGCTCGGTGCTCCGCACATATCTCGATTCTTCCTCTCTGTAGCTCACAGGAAAGGTGCTTCTGTTATCCCCCATTTTCTAGATAAAGGACCTGAGGATCAGAGAAGCAAAGTAACTGCTCAGGGTCACACAGCTGCTTCGATGACGGGCCCCATTCAAACTGAGGAAGCCTATGTCTCAACTACCCTCCTGGCGGCTGTTTATAGTCAGTCAGTCGGTCAGTTGTTTATTGAGTCTCGCATGTGCCCAGCATGGTTCTAGGTGTCAGTCAGTCGGTCAGTTGTTTATTGAGTCTCGCATGTGTCCAGCATGGTTCTAGGTGTTAGGGAGATGGGCAGGAGCCAACAGACGAAGTCCACATCCGCATAGAGTTGACATTCTTGAGCTGTGAGCCAGGTCCTTTAGGAAAGAATTCTCTGGGAGATTTGTGTTTTGGGCACTTTTGGAGGAAAACCTGTCTCCTTTTCTCCCATCTTCCCCGTACACACACACACACACACACACACACACACACACACACACACACCTGGTTGCTCTTCCTCTGTGAAGCCCCCCAGAGCTCTCCAGGTCTCCCTGTAGGGAGATGATGGCTAGGAGCCAGGTGTCCCCAAGCCTGTGTGTATTGTGCGCCCTAGGAATAAAGACCTCACTCTGCAGTCTGCTCCCTTGTGGGCCTGGCCACACCCCCAGCCTCATGCCCTGTAGTTTCCCTGCCCCCTCCCAGCCCTGCTGGTGGGAGACAGCAGGTGTCTGCCCAGCCGCAGGACCCCCTCTCAATCCTGGCACACCTTCTTGGGACCAGCTGACAGCACTCCTGCCAGCCTGGTAAGAGGCTCAGGGGCCCACGGCCACCTTGCCCACGAGGCCCTGCCAGCTCCACGTGGCCTTGTGTCTGTTATTCTCTGTATCTCTACACACAAAGAGCCTGGGTCTGCTGCTGGCGCCCGGCTGCTGGAGTGGGGAGGGCAGGCCACGGTGAAAAGCTTTTCAGAAAGGCCAGGGTGGAGGCAGGAGTCACCCAGGTGATCTGAGCCATTCCCCTGGGACCCCAGCCCAGGACCACAGCGAAAGGTTACTGCTAATTGGCAAGCTCCTGATGGGGCTGCATCTACTTAGCACCCCCCCTCCCCAGAGACTTCCAGGATGGTCTTGGCACAGCGTGTGATTCGAGAGCGCCCCGCCTGAGTCTGCCACAATCTGTCTGAAATTGTGAACATGGAGCCTCTCGGTTTTTTAATTTGTATTTTCGTTGTTGTCCTTCTCTGCCCATTGTTTCTGGTAGACTTGGTAGCAGCCGCCACCCTGACTCTGGTGTGTCCCCCCCCCGCCCCCCCCCCGTCTGGGGCCCTTTGGGCAGGCTCCTTCTACCCCCAGCCTCCCAGCCCCACCTCCGCAGGCCTTGCGGGTCAGGGAGCAGCGCCGTCCCTGCCCCCGACCCATTGCCAGGCCTCAGGGCCCAGCTCTCACCCTGCCGTCATCCCTGACACTAACACAGCTTGTCCACCCCGTCGCAGGGGGCAGATGGCCTGTCGGAGCCGGAGGGCATCTCTCTGAAGCGGGTCGCTGTGGTGGAAGATTTCTTTGACATCATCTACTCGATGCATGTGGAGAGCTCAGCGGAGCCAGGCAAAGCCCCCAAGCACGCCGGGCAGAAGAAAACCTACCGAGCGGTGAGAGTCCTGTCTCCGGGCCTCTGTGGGCAGCCCCAGGCCTTGGCAGGAGGCCATGGGCTCCGCACATGTTGGGCAGGGGCGGGGCGGGGAGCTGAGGCGTGATGAAACGGTCTTTGGGGACCCAGGGGGGCACAGGGCAAGGGCACGGCAGCCAGAGATGGCTCAAGGGGGGCGAGGGGGCGGGTTCTGTGGTCTGAGCACAAAGGAGAGGCAGGTTGAAGGGAGTGAGGGAGGGGAGGAGAGGGATGAGGGCAGGAGCAAAGCCCTCTTCCCAGTTTCTGCTTCACTCATTCCCTTCCCCACACCCCACACCCCCAGCTCCTTGCAGCCTGTTCTGGGACTGTGGGGGTGGGGGCAGCTGGAGAAGACTTCCATGGCATTTACTGTGTGCCAGGCCTGCCCTGAATGCTTCCTGTGTGTGAGTTTGTCCGGTCCCCCACCACCCTGTGAAGTCGGTACATGAAATTCCCCAGTGGAAGTTTGAGGACCTGGTCCCCATCTTCAGGGAGATCACAGTTCTATTTGGGGTGGGGAGGCCTAGAGCAAAACCAAGAGGCAAGAGCCAGGAATGTCTCCAAGACTAGCTTTGAGGGAACAAGAGCCCTGAGGGCCTTCAGCCGGTGGTACCTCCACACAGAATACCCGGACATTCACCAAAGGCACCTCCAGACACTGACATCCAGGGGGGTTTCATGGAGAAGATGGCACATAAGCTGGCATTCTAAGCTTGGGTAGGCAGAAGGGAGCAGGGATGCCAATCTAGAGCTAGGAAACGTCACACAGGGGCAGGTGTGGGAGACCAGGGCTAGAGAAGGAATGCCTACCTGTGTTCTGGTCCCATCCCCCTGTTGACTGCCATTGCCATGGCTCCTGTATATCTCTGAGCCCAGGACCCACCAGTAAACCAGCAAAGCCAAGCACTATATGTTCATTTAAGCCTCAGAGCAATTTTGTGATGGAGGCTCTATGGTCCCATTTTGCAGTTAAGGGAACTAAGACCCATAGAGTGGATCTAAGGTCACACAGCACTTAAGTGACAGGCAGCCCGTGTCCTCATGCCCCCTCCCCCAGTATGTCAACTTTCTCTCTGGCTTCTTACCTGCCCCTCTGTGACTGGGCTTCCCCACCCAAGGCAGCTGTGAACTCCACCCCCACCCCAAACTCTTTGCATAAATAGCCTTGGACTGCTGTGGAGGTAGCCTGTATGAGTCTATAATCTTCCTTTATGGCCTGAGTTCTGAGGGTATTCCCACCAGAGGGCCATAGACGAAGGGAGAGACAGCCAAGCCAGAGCTTTTGTGGGCCCCTTGGTATTAATGAGGCCCAACACATTTTTGCAGAATTGAATTTGTCAGTGCTGGGCAGTTTGCACGTGCCAGGCTCTGCACTCAGCACCTTCCTGTGCACCAGCTCTCTGAGCCTTCACTAGTATGAAGAGTGTGTATGTAGACATACGTACATGATGGAGGGAATATATATATATATGTGTGTGTGTATGTTACTGTTAGCCCCATTTTACAGATGGGGAAAATGAGGCTTAGAGGGACACATAACCTGCCTTGAGGTCACCCCTCTGATGCTCGGAGGCAGGCAGCTGGACCCAGAGCCTGTGCCCTGACCAGTACACATCCTGTCTCCCCACAAGCCCCCTGTGCTCAGCTAGTAAGCCCAAAGACTTGTTGTGGTCAAGGCAAATGGCTTGGGCTTGGGCCAGCCAGACCATGTGACTTCCCAGGTCCCCTTGGTGGCCGGCACCAAACCTTACCCACAGGCACTCCCTGGGTATGTATGCCGGCTGGGTTGGTGGCCCCCATGCTGTAGAGAGGGCAGGGCTGGGCTGGTTCCACCAGCCTCTGTGTCCCTGGGCCCTGTGTCCAGCCCTTTGCTCTGCACTTCCTGGCTTCTCGTCCATATGCCCGCCGCGTGCCCCACTTCCCGCTGCCCAGCCTGGAGCTGGCACATGACTGGCAGAGGGCCAGCTGGGCTGTGCACAGAGCTGGAATTTCAGCAGCAGGACGAAGGCTGAGTGGGGCAGGCCAGGGCCCTCCTGCAGTGGGTGTGATGGCCAAGGGGGCTGCTGTACCTCCCTCCCTACCGTGTGCCTCCTCTCCCTTCCCCCTCCTCTTCCCCATCTGTCACCCTTCTCTTGCCACCCTTTCCTTTTTGGGGGTTGGGGGTGGTGCCTGGATGCTTTTGTCCCCCTGCTTTTCATCTGCTCCCATTTCCCTCAACCCAAGTGCGGCTCTTCAGGCCCATCCGTGCCTGGGAAAGAGCCCCCAAGGAAACTCTGTGCCGATGGCTGCAGAGAGGCACAGCCTGGCACCGTGGGGTTTGCATCAGGGCCCTGGCTGAAGGTTTTTGGACCTGTCTCTGTGTGCATTGCCAAACCTGAATCCTGGGACTTACTTGCTGTCTCTTGGGCACCGGAGACCTTCCAGATTCTTATAGGCCTGGGGTGCCTGCAGGAAGCAGGGGACTGGAAGGAAAGTGGGCAGACTTGTTCAAGGGCATTGAAGGAGACACATTCTTCTGTGCGAAAAAGAAGCTTCTGGCCCGCACCACTATCCAGCAATAGATCAGAGAGGGCAGGTACTGAGCTTTCCGAAACTGAAGGTATATGAGCCAGGGATAGATGGCCGTTTAAATGGATGATGCAGGGGGTTCCCATTTTGGAAGAGAAGCCGCTGCCTTATGCTGCCTCTGATGCAGTGTGACCAGAGGACCCAGAGGATCCGCAGGGGGACTTGCCCACCCAGGGTCTGGGGAGGGTTCCCAGGGGTTCTACAGAGTCCTCTGACCCCACACAGAGGGCTGGTCCTTTCTCAAGGACCCATCTGGGTTGGAGCAAGCTCTTTGCTTCCTTCCTTTCCCCCAGGATGCTGGTAAGCTAGACCAAGCCACCGAGTCCGGATCGGGCTGCCCTGACCACGTTGGAGATGGGGCCAGATGTGGTCAGCAGCTGCTCCAGGCCCACCACGTGCTAATCCACCGCAGGGCAGCAGGAGGATCTTGTAAAGTGGTGCAAATCCCCCCAATTGGCCTCATCTGTCCTTGTCGGCCCCCGAGCTGGGGAGCGAAATGGGGCCTTACAAGTCAGCGTACTCTGCAAATAGCTTCTGCTCTCCCTGCCGGTGAAATCTCCCTCCGTCTTACCGCTAGGCAAAATGTAAAAGGCAAATTCACTTATGGGTCTCAGTGTCCAGGCAGGAGGCCCCCCCAAAAGCAAGGCAGCAGGCAGCGGAGGGAAGCTGGGTGGGGACAGCGGCCCTGGGGCTTCCCTCTCTCAACACAGCAGCTCCATCCCTGTCTGTTTCACATTTGGGGCTTCAGCTTAAGCGACTACTTCCGGGACTGTGCCTGGAGCTCTAAAACTATCTGCAAACCACTACCCTATTGGCTGGAGCATGAGCTAGGATCGTCCTCTCTTCAGCTCATCCTGGAGTCCCATGGTTTTGGGCATCCATGTTGTCGAACAGAAATGGATGTCCCATTTCTCACGTGGACAAGCCAGGAGAGTGAACCAAAAGATGTGCAGGGGAGGCCGAAGGCCACACAACTCCCCCTCCTCCGTGCAGGTCCCTACAGCAGCGTGGAGCTGGGCTGGACGCTGTACTTCACTCACTCCCACGAAGCGCTTAGTGAGGCTGCAGACATCCCAGCCGCCTGGGGCAGGGCTCCCTCCTGGCCCTCAGCTCCGAGGACTCCTCACCTGTACTTCTTGAGTCCACCTAGCTGCCCCCGTGTGTGCCAAGAACGGGGCACCCCGCCCACCTGGGGCCAAGAATGTGTGTGCCAGGTGCCCCTCTGGCCAGCTTTGCGTATGGCTGGCGTCCCTGTCCTTGTCCCTCTGGTGCTGACTCTCCTCCTTTCCCAGCAGTGACCCTCCCCACCCCCAACCCTGAGCCCTCAGCTCACCTCTTCTAGGTCTGACCTGGGACACCTCCCCTTGCATTGCAGCACCTCCGAGATCACCTGTTTGCCCAACTCAGCCACAGCCCCCCTTTGCCCAGCGGGCGCCCTTCCCTCTTGCCCATTTACTCCAGTGGGGCCCAACCCTGAAGGCCTGAGAGGTGCACACCACCCGCCACCCAGAAGACTTCCAGGCAGGTGGGGCTGCGAATGAAGATGTCTACGTGTGTGGCAGGGAAGCCCCCATCCCACAGCCCTAAGAGCAGAGGAGGATGGGCTGCGTGCCCTCCCATCCACGGGCTCCAATCAGAGAGCTGGGGTTTGCCCTTGTCCCTGACCTCCAGAGGAAGGCAATCAGACAGGGAATTTGGAAGGGAGATAACTCATCAAGGAGACTGCCTGCTCCGCAGAGCATCAAATCAGCTGAGAAATAACAATTGTGTCACCAAAATTAACTCTGCATTTGCAGCCGGCCACCAAGCAGGAGTGGCCCCAAGCTCCACAGGCCAGCTGAGCAGGGGGCATGGCCTGAGCTGGTCCTCTGAGGGACTGGCCACAGCCCTGGGGCCCTCCCCGCCCCCCAACCCCATCCACTCTGCCCTACCCTACTCCGCCCCCTGATTACCACAGAGATGGGACAGGGCGCTCGCGCATCCCCCAGCAGCAGACCTGGTGCTGTCCGGAGAGCAGTCTCCTCCCACTGTGGGCTGACCAGAGCCCTCCGTCAACTTTCCCGGTTGGGTTGCGTGGGGAGGGAGGAATGCTGGGGCGATGCTGCCCCTTAGTGGAGAGCAGCGGAAGGGCCCCGGCTCTGGGAAATGCACGAACACTCAGCCGGGGAGCCTGGGCCTAAGAGGCAGCCACACCAGGGCCAGTGCTCTTCCCAAAACCCAGCGTAAGAGGAGTGGCCTGGGCTTCTGGGCCCACACCTGCTTCTCCACTCCCCTGCCCAACCTGTTTCTTGTATTCCCTCCTATCTATTCCACCTTCCAGCTGCTTTCTCCTCCCTGGCTCGGGGAGGCCCCCTGGAGGCAACCATGGAGCACAGGCTTTTGGTCCAGCCAGCCTTGCCTCTAAAGAGCTGTGTGACCTTGGGCAAGTCAGCTTACCTCTCTGGGGCTCGTGACCTCACCTGGAATCTAGGGGTCATTGGCAGCCCAGTTTGTAAAATCTGATCTCTTGGCACCAGACTTTCACAGCTCGCACTAAAAATGTTCTTGACCTGTGAATTATTGCAGGAAGAGCTTCTAGAACCTTGGGCTCTGTTCATAGCTTTGTAAATGGGTCTCCGTTTATCCATCTCTAAGAACGGAAATTTTTTATTCTCCCCTAGAGCAGTGCTTAGAAACTAATTTTTCAGTAGCAACAATAAAATGCTCTGAGAGGAATGTTACTTATTAAAACATAGCCTAGATAATGTGTAATGTTTTGCTTTTTCAATTCTTAAGCTCCTTTATTCAAAATCTTAGAACAAATGGTTTCCATAAGAGTCCTCACTCATTCCCATGGCTAAGAATTGGGGCCACCCACCACTTGCTCCTCAAATCCCTTCCCTTCCTGGCAAGGGCCACCTGAGCACCGACCTTGGTGACCTGGTGACCAAGCGATCTCCCCCTGGGTCCATGTAATGAGCAAACCTCCTCTCTCCCCCAGATTGCGGAGACCTATGCCTTCCTTCCGCGAGAAGCCGTGACTCGGTTCCTGATGAGCTGCACAGAGTGTCAGAAGAGGATGCACTTTAATTCCAACGGCCTGGAGCCCAAAGGTAGGGGAGAAGGCAGGCGTGCTGCTGGCTTGGGGGAGGCTGTGCAGGCGGAGGCCCTCCACCAGCAGGGCCTGCCCTTTGCTGGCACAGGCAGAAAAGTGCACGGCCAGCAGTTGTCACAGCTCCCAGAGGCCAGTGTGGGTCCGTGCCCAGAGGACTTCGATGCTGGTTTTTTGTTTTTTTGTGGGGTTTTTTTTTCAGCTTAAAAAAACATCAGGTTTTGTTTAATAACCAATGGTACATTCCTACTTCCTTTTAAGACCCTCTTCTCCCACTGAGGTTCCTAGTGGCAATGACCACCTGGCCCTGGTCCCTGAGCACCTCAGTTCTTGCCACCAAGGCCTTACCCTGGGCATTATTCTCACGGGCCTGGTCTCACCGCCCTGACCCTCGGTTCTCTGAAGGCAGGAGCACACCGCTGGCCCCTACGGCCTTGTGCCCTATCGCCTCACACCTGTCACTGCTCAGTCCTCCCTCAGTATCTGTTCCCTCGCTGCAGCATCCAGGAAGCCTGTGGGGATTACTTTGAAGTTAAATGCCCAGAGTACCTGTGACCAGCTGAAGTTGGTTCCTTGAGCCAGTGTCCATGCTCTCCAGCTCTGCCCTGCCCCCTGAGCAGGGACCTCTATTTCAGTCCCCTCAACCCGTCACCCTGCACGCGCCCAGAGGCCTCCAGGGAGTCCAGGGCCTGTTTGTTTGCAGGTGGCTGTGGCACAGCAAGGTGGGCTGATACTCATGGCCAGTGTGACTATAATAATCCTGCCCTGAGGTGGGCAATTATCGGAGCTTCTAGGTGGCCCCTGGGCATCAGGCTTCAAAGGTTGCTAACGTCAGTGGGTGTTTTGCCTGGGATGGGAACAGACTCTGGGCGAAGGGCAGGCTGTTCACTTGGGTGGTACTCAAGTGGCATCCACCATTTGTGGGGAAGGAAAAACCAGCAGCAAAGCTCAAACAAAGCAGATGACAACAAAGAAATTGGAGCTGAGGTATCGGTGTTTGGGGTTCTTTTCGCACTTTCCTGGACTCCGATGCATGTGGGGGACTCTGACACCAGCTGACTCCCCAAATCCTGAAGCCGTCCTATCCATGTGGTCGTTAGGCCATGGCTGCTTCACCGGGCACACTGGGTAGCCTCTAAGTCATGTGGGACAGGAACAAGCGTGATTAATCCCTCACAAACGCTGGGTTACTGGTTTAAGAACAGAGCCCCCCAAGGCCACACTGGGTGGGTTCGAATCCCAGCTCTGCCGGTCAGTGGCTGCACATCCTGAACAAGTGACTTCATGTCTCTGAGCCTCAGTTTCCTCATCTGTGAAGTGGGGTGAGTCATGGTGCCTACCTGAGGGGGCTGACGAGGTTGGAGAGTTATTTTCGCACCTGGCACAGGGCTGTGGCCCAGAGGAGTGAGCCGTGGCTGTTGCAGGTACTGTAGTAACACGTGCGTGCCTCAGAGGCCCCGCCCCCTGGGCCTGGCTCTGGCTGAGTGGGGCAGCCTTGGGCCAGGACAGTGTTTGGTTCCTGCAAAGAGGCCAGGCGGGCTTTCCCTGCTGCACCCCCACCCTGTCAGGGTCTGGGTCCCACGGGTGAGTGCCCTGGTGGTGGCTGCCTGTCCCCTCCTGTTCTGGCCTAATGGTTTCCATAGCAACTGGAGAAGTCCCACTGAAGCACTAGCCTAGGGGGACAGAGGCCAGGCCAAGAGGGGCCGCATTTGCGGGCAGCCCTCGGGTGTCCACAGGCTCCCTCCGTTCTGCACCCTCCCTCTCCGCTGGTGTGGAGGACATCCGTCACCCCCCTCCCCTCCCTGTCAAGGCTGCAGCTCTACACCTCCTCCTCGTCTCGGGCGGAGAGGGCGATGCCGAGCAGAGCACAGCGGCAGCCTGTGTCTTCTCCAGGCTGCCACCATCATGCCCCCAACCCGGGAGGAGGAGGGAGGAGGATGGGAGGAGGATGGGGGGAGGTGGAGAAGGAGAGGGGAGAGGGGGAGAGAGAGAGAGGAAGAGAACGCGTACTCACGCCAGGAGGGAGCCGCCTAGAATATAAACCAGCTCCGTGTGCTCTGTGCCCGAGCCTCCCTTTCCAGGGGTTTGGCTCCAAGCAGCACAGAGCACAGGCAGCGCAAAGCTGCAGGATACCCGTCCTTGCCGGTCCTCAGGCAGAATGCCACTTCTGTGTCCCCGGGAGAGGAGCTCCCACGTGGGGAGAGGAGGAGGCACGGAGGGAGCAGGAGACAGTGCAGCCCATGGAAAAGCCTGGGCTGGGGGGTGGGGGAGAGGCCCAGCAGGCCTGGGTGCGGTGCCTGCTCCCTGCTGCCTGTCCTCTGGCAGGCTGGGGACCTCTCTGCTCCTAACAGCTTCTGTGATCCTAGGAGGTATCTGTCCCAGCTTGCTGCTAAGAAAATGAGGCACAGACAGGTGTCACAGTGAAATGGGCTGTCCAAGCTCTACCAGAAGGCAGGGTAGCTTATTTGATCATCAGCAAAATGAGAGTAAGGCCTCCCTCTTGGAGCCGAATCAAAGGAGCCCAGTCTGCAGGGCACCTGGTGCGGCAGGGACCTGGGGGACCCTATTGGGTGCATGCACCATGGTGTTGCATCACAAGAAGGCTGATGTTCAGGATGTTTAGGCAGCCCCCACAGGGAGACCCCTGGTCAGCCAGCCTACCTAGGTGAGTGCCCCGGGCCCACAACCTGGTTGCTTAGCAAAAGGGAAGGGCCTGGTTCCTGGAAGCTGCCCGTGGAGAGCCTTGCAGTGGAAAAGGCTCCCTGTCTGCTTAATGGCCAGAGGCATTAGTTGCCTGGTCCCTTCTACCCCAGCTGAGAGCCCACAGAGTTCATCTCCTCCCACCAGGCTGGCCTCCCTGGACGAAGCCACGCTTCTCCCTCTTTCCTAGGCACCCCTGCCATGCCAGCCCCGCCACCCCAACCCCCGCCCTCTCCTGCCCCAGGCCCCAGAAGCAGGCCTGTGTTCCTGTCCCAGGAAGGTAGGGCAGGAGGGGGACAGGGAACAGGATGGAGACTTCTCAAGGGGCTGTTGGGAAAATGCCTGGCTTCCTGACCTCGTGTTAGAAAGAAAGAAAGGAAGCAAAGCAGCCTCCCCCGCTCAGCAGTTTGTCCCCAGCAGAGCATGGGGGCCCGGACAGTCCTGTGCCCTCCCCCCAGCACCAGGAGCACAAACAAAGGAGGCGGTGGAGGATCAGGAAGTCCAAGGATGGGAAATTCCAGGGCCTCCCGGCTCCACGCTCCTTTTCCACCACCCCAAAACGAGTCTGGGCAGAGAGGGGACAGAGAGTGAGAACCGGGTGTGCCCTTGGACCAGCCCTAGCTCCTGGGGAAAGGGCCTCTGGAGGCCAGCTCTGGTTTTCTTTGATGTGACAAAATATTATTTGCAAGGCAACAAACTAGGAGTTAGCAGCAGGCAACCCAGTTATCTACTGAAGGGTCCCTTTCTCGGAAACAGAGTTGTCCATCCGGGTGGTGATTCCTTCACAGCAAGGCCCGGACTCCTCTGTCTTGGTCCAACCCCCTCTGCCCGGCCCTCCAGACCCCTCCTTCCTGTCCTCTCCACCTGTGACCCCCCTTGCAGCTGGCTCCTACACCCCCGCAGTCTTTCCTGTGCTGGCCCCGTTGCTGGCCTGGCTTGGCCCAGTTCTTGTACTCACTTGCTATGTGACATGGGGAGGGTGCCTCATCTGTGAGATGGGGTTATTAATACTAGAGCGGAGCTCCTAACGAGTGCTGAGTAGCCATCAGCGAAGTGATTGAACACCGTTCAGATCCGCCCTCCACGAAGCCTCCTTGAGCTACCCCAGAGCCCTCTGAACCATCTTCTTCTGATCTCTAATGGACTGCGCATCCATCCCACACGGCCAAGTGCAGGGATTGTACCTAGAGTCCCCCACCTTCCCCACCCTCAATGTATGCACATCAGCGCTCCTCCAATACTTGCTGGTCTGCTGATTCACTCCCCTGAGAAAGAGGCTTTCCATCACTCTCTGAGCCAGCCCCAGGCCTTGGGTCTCTGTTGCCAGCTCTGAACACCAGCACAAGCTGGCTGGTCTTGTGGCTCCTCTGGGACCTCATCACATATCCTTCAACATCCAGGCCTGCCTGGGAGAGCTCCCGCCACTGGCACCTGAAGCCACAAGTCTCTCTGGACTGAGTTCTTCCGTTCTGTAGGCGAAAGCTCATGAGAATTGCCCCTTTTTGCTCCACGTGGAGGAGTGAGGGCCACTACTTCCACTGAGATTTGCCCTGATGGATGCATGCCATTGGAGCCTAGCTGTGGAGGTCAGCACTTGACCCAGGCCAAGCCTCTGCATCACTGATTATTTTCAAGGCCCATAAACCAGGGCTAGCTCTTGGGCAGGCTTCAGTTTTCCTTGGCAAAGCGCGGTGAGACATTTCTTTGAGTGATTCCTCTGCTTTGCTCATGGGCAGCCTGCTGGATTCCGGTGGCTCGGTGACCCTTGAGATCTCTGAACTCACCTGGGGTATCACTTAGTGGCTTGAGCATGGGCGCCATGTGTGTTGACCGCCATGGGGGCTGGCCTGTCTCAGCAGACCCCAGGGAAGCCACTTCTGACCTATTTGTGCATCCACCTTAGCTTTTGCCCATTCTGGCATTCATCTGGCCTATGGGCACATGACGTCGCAGTGTCCCTGCAGCGCCCGGACCTACCCCTGGCTTCTGTACCTCCCCCCTCTTTCCTACCAAGTTGATCCTCTTGACCTGAGCAGCTTACCGCTTCCAGAGCCTCCTGGCCGCCAGAAACTCTGCCTGCCTTTCTCCTCACTGTGGTCCCACAGCTAGCTCCCTGGCATGTGCCCTCACCTGGAAATCCCCCCCCCCGCCCCCGCCCACCACAGCCCTGCCTCCCCACCAGAACTCTCACGGCTGGAGCCACAGGCGCGAGCACTCCGCTGCACTTGGATCTCTGACAGATTTGTGTGTGCACACTCAAGGATCCTGGTTCTCCCCCCAACCCACCCCCACCAGACAGGGCTTCCTGCTTCCTCTTCTTGAGCCCTCCTGGCTCACCTCTGCACACTGGAAGTGGTTTCTGATCTGTGGACCTGCTGGGGACCCAACAGGCCAAAGAAGACCCCCTTCCCCCTCCTCGCAAGAGCGCCCTCCTAGCCATTGGTTTTTGGCTTTCTTTCCTAAACCAAGCTGTACCTGGCTTTATTAGAGATCCCTTTTCGTAAGCAGTCGTCGTATTTTAGGCAGGACATGGGTGACCATCAAGGAAAAAAACACAGTGCCCGGCCCCCATGGATGACCAGACACGGAGAGTGAGGGTCGCCATGACACTCCCTGAGGTCTTCACTTGCGGCCCTGACCAGTGATCCTCAGGACAGGGATGGCCCTGCTCATGCACCATGTCATCTGACACCTTCTCACCAGACACCCATGTCTTTGAGGAAATGAAACGGAAATGGCAGAGCCCTCCGTCTGGAGACCCAGGACCTGAAAACAGGAACCGTGTCTCTTCGGAGTGACGCCCTCCCAATGTGGTTGCTCAAACGTCTGCTTCACATATGGCTCCCAACCCCGTCGATGTGCGGGGGAGGGAGGTCCCAACATGCTCCTGGGCTCACGGAGGTCAAGTCTGGGTTGATGGGTGGGGCAGCGGGAAGAAGACTAACGGACACTGAACGGGTTTTAGCTCCCTCACCGTGCCAGGCGCCCCGGCGAAGGCGCCAACGCGCAGCCATGTCAGAACCTTCTGCCACAGAACTGAGAGGAAATCTCCATGAAAAAAGAAAGTTCAGCTCATTTGAAGCCAGTGTTCTGAGATAGTCTATTAGTGACATTTACTTCTTTCTCAGAGAACAAATCTTCCTCAAGGAATCCCCAAAACTCTGAGTGTGACAACATAGCTTTAAAAAGCAAACCACAGTTGTGCATTTTTATAAACCTGGATGATATTCAAGCTGTGCAGTCACCCGAAGTATACCACCTCAAAATGACACCCCTCAACCCCCAGACCTGGTCTCCACGGACCCCGTTCTCTGCAGGACCATCTCTGTCCTTGTCCAACAGGGGCTCCCTTGTCCCCTTTGGGTAGCTTCACCTCCTTGTTTGCAGGGACTTTTATATTTATTGTAAAGTACAACATAAAACTTGTCATTTTAGTCATTGTTAAGCGTACATTCAGTGGCATTAGTTATATTCACACCACTGAGCAACCCTCACCATGGGGTGTCCCCAGATCATTTTCACCACCCCAGACAGCAGCCACGTGCCTGTGAAGCAATAACTCCCACGCGCAACCCCCAGTCTCCAATAACCTCTGTACAACTCTCTATCTCAGTGGTCGGGCCTACTCTCGGTATTCCGGCTGAGTGGAACCGAGCATATTTGTCCTTGTGCGGCTGGCTTCTTTCACTCAGAATAGCATTTCCAAGGTTGCATGGACCTTCCTGGTCGGGGCTCCGACTCCTGCATTCCTCCACCGAGGCCCCAACATCTGCTTGCCCTTGAGCCCACCTCTCCGACATGATGCTGGTGGTGGTGGTGGTGGTGGTGGTGGAGGATGGCAGGCAAGTCCAGAAGTCGCTCCCGCTTCTCCTCCTCCTCCTCACACTGCTCAAATCCCAGCCCATGAACAGAACTAAGCACCAGGGGGAGCTTTGGGCCAAAGGCCTGGAGTCTTGGAGGCAGGAAGAGGAGGCCGGAGGCCTGGTAACCAAGACTATCCCCCAGGCGGAGAGTGAAGCTGGGTCAAGGGACTAAATGACCAAAGGAGGCCCCGCTTTGCGTGACAGGTCCCCACAGGTGACTCCAGGGTTTTGAGGCTGGTCATAGCAGGAGGCATATGCAGAGAAAGCTGGGCTAAGGAGAGGGGTGACGGGCTCCCTTTCAGTCACGCTCGCTGTCTTCCTTGACTCATTCCTGTGCTGTGTTAGTCTGTCCCTTACAGTGGGGACAGTCCCTTACACAGAACACAGTGGCTGGGCATTGTCCACGGCCGCAGCTTCTGCAGAAGGCAGCTACCCAGAGCTTTTAGGAGTCATGGGATAGTTCAGGAGCACCTGGGTGGCTCAGTTGGTTAAGCGTCCAACTTCGGCTCAGGTCATGATCTGACCTGAGGTTTGTGAGTTCAAGCCCCATGTCAGGCTCTGTGCTGGCAGCTCAGAGCCTGGAGCCCACTTCGAATTCTGTGTCTCCCTCTCTCTCTGCCCCTCCTCTGCTCACGCTCTGTCTCTCTGTCTCCCAAAAATAAACATTAAAGAAAAATTTTTTAAAGAGTTACAAAATGGTCCAACCCTTCGACCCCTGAATTCCCATTTTTGGAATACAATCAGAAATACGGACGAATACTCAGGCACAAAGATGTTCCCTATAGTATTGTTTATAATAGCCTCCAGTAGGAAACAACCTAAATGGCCAGTCATAAGCAAATTACTTAAGTAAGTTATGATAAAATAGTACACAGCCGTAAAAACACTGTTTACAAAGCAAAACGAGATTTTCGATGGTAGGGGAAATGACCATGACAATGTTAAGTGGAAAAAAATGTTTTTAAGCAAATTATAATTTTCTGTACACATTTTCATATCAAGTGGATAAAGAAGAGAAGTCACAGGGAAAAAATAAACAGAAGCATATGTCAAGCTGCTTGATGTAATTATTGAGTTTTTGCCTTTACATCCTTCCACGTTTTGCAAATGCTCTACAAAAAGAACATGTGTGACTTTGATCTTCAGGACAAGCAAGCAATAAATGGGAGGAACAGGGCTCCTCTCCATGTGATCTAGGAGGAACCAGAATTTGGGAGGGGGTAGTGGAAGCCTGGCCCAGACCTGTGAACCATATGGTACCTGACAGTGCTTTTGGGGGACGCTGTGGGGGTGGGAGATGGGGTCAGGTGGTGGTGGCAGGTGTGCACCAGGAAGCTGGCTGAGACCAGGGCTGGAAACGAAAATGCCTTCGAGGGCCCGGCAAATGTTCTAATCAAGTGGAAATGTGCAGAGGAAATGGTAGGGACTATGGCAAAATGGAGAGTGGCTCACACCCTGTCTAAAGTGGCTTTTTTAAGGCTGCCCTGGTTGGTGGCCAGGTGGGAGGGTGGGCCCTGTGTGACCAGACCGTCCTGATTTTTAACATGTGAACACTCGCTAAACACTGGCACCTGACTGAAAATATCTTCAGTGCCTTGCAGTCCACATCCACAGGCCACATGTGGTTGGTGAGCTACCCGTTGGTGAGCTCTGGCCTGTTCCTTCCTCCTCCTCAGGCTCTGTGTGGGTGACAGGGTGTGGTGCCTGCCAGGGAGCCCATGGCCGGGACTGAACGTGGCTTTCTTTTGTTCCTCCTGCTAGAAAATGAACCTCCCTCCCCCCTGGTCTCTGGGATCATCGATTACAACATGCCCCTTACCTCCACGTACCTGAAGCAGATGAAGCTGCGAGTGATGAACTCCCAGGAACAGGTAAGGTGCATGTGTCTCCTCGCCTCGCCCGGCCTGGAAGCATCCTAACGCGCCTGGATGTGCCTGGTCCGTTCCAGGGTGTGTGGGCCACGGCAGGTGTAAACACACTGTATATCAGAGGGGACCTTACCTGGTTTTCTGGTCCTTGCAGTCCAGGCTGACGGAGAGGGGGTGGAAGGGGGGGAAAGAATGTGTTCATGTTTCAGAGAGCTTTCCTCAAGGGCAGGGGTGAAGGAGGGGGTGTGCATGAGCTGTAGACCTTGGCTCTTAGGTTCTTCTCTCTCTGCTTTTTGCCCTTTGTCTGCTATGTCACTCATCTCCTTTCCCCAGGGAGGGGAGAGAGAGAGAGAGAGAGAGAGAGAGACGCCCTGGCTGCTTGCCTGTGGCCTCTCACTCTGGGGGCCCAGAGAAGCCAGAGGATGGGCCTTGGAGGGTGGCCCAGGTGCGATAAGGCCCTGGGGCCCCTGGCTGTCCAAGTCTCCCCAGCTGTGGATTGCCAAGTGCTGTCAGCCACCATGGAAACAGGCTCTGAGAAGAAAACCACTCTAGCCTGCTTCCCCACGCAGTCTACCTTCTAGCCCTTTGCAAAGCAAGTAGCAGGACTGTCCTTCAGGGAAGGACTAGGTGAATGCCACCCCCTCCCTCCACCACTGCCTAAAACCAGAGTAATGATTTCTCACATGGCTTCAAATGTTCTCTCTCATCTGTTGCGACATACGAACCTACTAGACCTACCTAGGGGAATGGGTTCTTCCTCCCCACTCCCATCGAGAGTCTGACTTCTGGCCCTGGGTGCATGCTGGTCTCCTTGACAACCTGAGCGTGTGCGTTAGTGTGTGCGTGTGTGTGTGTGTGAGAGAGAGAGAGAGAGAGAGAGAGCACGTGCATCTGTGTGCACACGGGCGCACGGGGTGGGTGATGTCTCCATAGCCAGCTCCCAGGTGATGTAGCAGGAAGTAGAGTCTGGGGCCATGGCACCCACTTGGAGGACTTGAGCTGGCTTGCTTGAGTGTGACTTGTCCTGCCCTCCCCCAAGGAGAGGAGTGTCCTCCCATCCCCTAAAGGTTGAACGAAATAAGCCTTGCCCCGGGTCTCTGTGCCCTCCGCCTCTTCCCATCTGACATGGTCTCCTCTGTGATGGTTACGTCCCGAAGAAGCTTCACATAATCAAAAATAACGTCAGTGGGGAAAATGGCATGGGGGTTTCTAACTCACAACGGTAAAATTGTTTCTGTACGGGAATGCCACTAATACGACAGCGCTTTTGTTAATAGTCACAAAACCTCAACGCCACTGTGCAGGTTCAGCAGGAGATCTCAGACTACGTTGAAGGGTAATTCCTTCTCCCGGAACCATCCACACTGTCATAAGCACCTGGCTTCTCACACATTCTCTTCACCATTCTTGTCCATCACCATGAAGTGTGGAGCCACTCAAACAGCTGGCAGTACTGCCTCATGGCTGTCTCTTTCCTCCGGAACGGTGCTAGGTTCAGATCACCACCAGAGCCGGTAGTGGTCCGTGTAGCCCGTGCAGTGATCCCTCATTACTGGATCCTGTGATATTTTGTTTCGTTACACAGATTCTTACTATCTGTTGGGAATTAAACCTATGGGCTAGGTGCATTTGCAAGGGTTCAATCATTCAACAAATATTTCTGGAGCCCTACCCCATGAGGTCCTCTAGGGATGAGCAAGTCTTTGGAACTACTGTTTCTAGTTCTTTCTTATGTTTGGGAGAAACAGACACTAATGAAAAGAAATCATGCACAAGTGCCCAGCTTAGAAGAGGAGGTAGCAATAAACAATTGGAGGGAAAGATTGATCAGTTGTCACAGTGTGGCTCTGACGGGTGCCACATGGGGGGAGTGCTCTTAGATGGGCATGAGGTGTCAACTGAGGCAGGACTTTGCTTCAGAAAGGGATGCTTGAGCTGAGATTGAGGTCTGAAGGGAAGAGCTCAGAAAGGGATGCTTGAGCTGAGATTGAGGTCTGAAGGGAAGAGCTCAGAAAGGGATGCTTGAGCTGAGATTGAGGTCTGAAGGGAAGAGCTCCAGGCTAAGGAAACAACTTGTGCAAAGGCCCTGTGGCTTGAGGGAGGACAGTGCCTGTGCGAATCTGAGAGGCTGATGTGGCTGGTGCAGAGAGTGTGAGGTATTCTTTTGCTGAAGAAGAAGGGGAAAGACACAAGTGTTGGGCAAAGAAGCACTTGGTTCATCTGTGAATGAATCAAAGTTCATGAAACAAGGTGGTTAAAATACCCTGGTGAGTTTTGGGCTACTCACAAAGGAGAGGCGGGCTGTGGGGAGGTTTTTCTCCAGGGTGCTCTGAGAGTCCAGCCTGGACTGAAGTTGACAGCAGGTGTCTGGGAGTCGACTCTGTCTTCCTCGCCTTCGTTCCTAGTTTCCCAGGTGGGGGCCCTCGGACGGTATCCGTTCTTCTCCCCCCTGTGCTGCAGGAGATCAGAGGTGCAGACCTTCCTTGCATACCCCAGGGAGGAGAAACCGCACCCCCCCTCAGGCCTAGGGCCTTGCGCCTGCTTGGCTCCAGCTCTCCCTGCGTAGCGGCGCACTCGCCAGGCCTCAGTCTCGGGCATTCCCTGTTCTGTGGTGAAACAAGAAATCGTATTGCTCGTCAGATTGTTTATCTGTAGGAGCAAGGAAGGGCCAAGGACCCAGAAGTCTTTGATTCTTCAGCTTGAGTTGGAAATAAAGATACATATATTTGAATCAGTAGCTTGTTTCCTGGGGGGACGTGAGGGTCAGGCTCCCCTCGGGGCCAGTGAACGGCGTGCTGTATGAACGCAGCCGTGGGCACGGCTCTGCCACTGTCAAATCCCATGTTCTGGTGAGGCTCTGAAAGTGGCCTCATGCCCTGAAGCATCCTTCTGACCCTGAAATGCTGACGGGGGCACCTGTAGTGTTTGCCGAGCACTCCTGCAGGTCCTATGGAAAATAAACCTAATTCTAAAGTGACAGGACCTGGGATCAGTGATATTTTATTGATGCCAAACAAGGCTCTGCATCTAAAAACTCCGGGTAAGAAAAATCCCAGTGATTAACTTTTCCAGCGTTACGTATCCAGAAGAGAAGCAGTGAGGCAAGCAGAACATGTTCCCCACACTTTGCTTCTAGCAGACAGCGAACGGGTGGTGGGCTTTACTCGCAAACTAGACAGAATCACGTTACTTGGCCAGTTGTGTCAAATCAATATGCCGGGAAATGGGCCCTTCTCCACAGAGGATATTAGGTAGTATGAAAATCTAGTAACAATATTCACACACACAGAGAAAAGATTCTTCTTGAGGTCCGATTCAATACAGCAAATGTTAATGGTGTCCTCAACATGCAAGACATTTGGGGGTCAGACAGCAGCCTTCCAGGCCCTCCGCCCTGAGACACAGAGCCCAGGAGCTACTATCACCGTGGCCATGTTGAGCTGAAAATAGGGGAGTGTAGTCTGATAAGATCTTTTTCCCCCTTTCCTTGGGAAAACTCTAATAAAGACATAAAACTGAAAGCACATTTCATTGTACTGATTAGGAAAACTTCTTCTCGTAGGGGGCAAGGTGGGCGATTTCCCGAGCTGCAGGCTGTCTCTCGGGGAATGCTCTAGCATTCTGTCATAAGGTGAGGCCTCGACGAGGCATGCCACTCACAGGGCCGGAGGCAGCGGGCACGTGCCACCCACAATGGCTGGTCTGGCAAATCCCCCTCTAGGGCTGTGTGAAGGATGCACCGAGGAGGAGTGCTCGGGTCTCCTCCTCATGTGGCCACCGGGTTTCTTTTCTGCATCACTTGGTTTTCTTTCATACCTCCTTTTTTTAAAGAAATGTTTTTTTAATGTCTGTTTATTTTTGAGAGAGAGAGCATGAGCAGGGGAGGGACAAATGGGAGGGAGCAGAGGAACTGAAGCAGGCTCTGTGCTGACAGCAGAGAGTCTCATGTGGGGCTCGAACCCACCGTGAGATGGTGCCCTGAGCCAAAGTCAGACCCTTAACCAACCGAGCCAACCAGGTGCCCCCGTACTTCTTATGATTACACAAGTAACACCTGACCTCAGTGGCCAAAAGCAAAAACATGGTAATAAAAATCGCCACCATCCCACCACTCAGGTCACTGAGTATTTTGGGGTCCAGCCTCCCAGACTATTGAACAGAAAGGAGATTATCCCACACAAACACTGTGCTTTGCTTTTCTTCTTTAAAAAATTTTTGTTGGGGCGCCTGGGTGGCTCAGTCGGTTAAGCATCTGCCTTCGGCTCAGGTCATGATCTCACGGTTCGTGGATTCGACCCCCGCGTCGGGCTCTGTGCTGACAGCTCAGAGCCTGGAGCCTATCTTCGGATTCTGTGTCTCCCTCTCTCTCTGACCCTCCCCTGCTCATGTTGTCTCTCTCTCTCTCTCTCTCAGAAATAGAGAAAACATTAAAAAATAAAAAAAAATTTGTTTAATGTTTATTTATTTTTGAGAGAGAGAGGCAGAGCACAAGCAGGGGAGGGGGAGAGAGAGAGGGAGACAGAGAATCTGAAGCAGGCTCCAAGCTCTGAGCTGTCAGCACAGAGCTGATGGCGGGTCTCAAACTCACATACTGTGAGATCATGACTTGAGCTGAAGTCAGACGCTCAATCAACTGAGCCACCCAGGAGCAGGGTGGATGAGTGCTTTGCTTTTCTGATGCTGATTTTCCATGTTATCAATCTCTTTACCCTCTTGGCCTAGATATTTCCCACCTACCAAATAAACTGGTTATATAATTTTCCTGCCATTGATCCACTCATTCACCCATATCCATCCACCCATTCATCCACCCATTCATCCACTCATCCTTTTACCCATCCATCCACACACCCATTCACCCACTCATCCATCCACCCTTCCACTTATCCATCTACCCATTCATCTCTCCACCCACTCACCCACCCATCTACCCATCCACCCACCCATCCACCCATTTTTCCATCCATCCATTCATCCACCCACCCACCCATCCACCCATCCTT